TCTATATCTAAATGAATACAGCTAGTGGATATTGTGTATATAATTCTTAGACTCCACGGTACAATAAAAATAACTTTCATTATATATAAAAGAAATTAAAATTTCGCCCCCTTCGAATAACCGTCCTTGTACAGTGAACAATTGCACACTACATGCGATATTCCTGATACTTTGATATTGTAAAATATTGTTAAATTTTAATATTTTATTGTAATTTATGTATATCCTTGCAGACTAGACAAGTATCGGATCATTTCCCTGTAGAATTCCAGTTAAGAGGAAAAGGTAATTTTATAATTTAATTATAATACTTTTACAAAAGTTTTGTAATTACTGTATATTTATTAACATTTCAGTTCCTAGCGTTTTCGTTGATAATATTCTCACGGATATCTGCATTAGTGTTTATGATAAAAGACCGAGCAAACGTCTGTTTCAAATGATTGATAATAACAATATTCGTAGGTTGAATTTTAACGTGTACAAGGACTTTAATGGAAGTAGAGCGAGATTAACAACCATTAAGAGAACGACAAACGTTCAAGATTTATTATCTTCTCTGGAAGACTTCAACAAAAAGTCGAATTACGTTTTAAGTCCCGAAACTATTGAAACTATTCGTTTTAAAGTAAAACATGGATCTCTGGTGGACTCTGGAAGTTACAGTTCTATTGTCAATGCAAAATATACTTTAAATATTGACTGTAATTTGATTACTGGATTTTGTGTAGTTTATATCTGCAAGCAAACATTTTTTAATTAATTTTTGTGTAAATTATGTATAATTTGAAATTATATATTCATGTAAAGAATTTAGTAAGCTAATAACTATCTTTTTAGTATGATATGTAACATTAATTAAGCATTTACTCATGCCATTTTATATACTTCTGAATGAACTATTGAATTGTTCGTATGGATCACTGCTTAAATTAAATTAATTATTAATTCCTTTCACACTATCACATACAATTAATAACAACAGACCTACTTGTTTTTATTAATTGTACACCTTGACAATTTCGTTTCCTTTGAATAAAATTATCGGTTTTTGTTTTGAAAGGATTAATTCTATCTACAAAATTTATCTTATTGATTATCCATGATATAAAAAAAAATCAAAATCAAAGTTCTTTTGATAAAATATTCAGAACAAATATCATTACATTTGTTAAGCTATTAAACTAAATCTATACTAATCATTTCACCAGAATGTAGTAAACATATTGTTTGAGATAATATATAGATACAATATAAAATGGCAAAGCCAGGAATTAAAATTTATTAAAGATTAACAAACTTAAATTACAATAGTCATATATGTTCTTATATTATTAAATTCTAACTCCGTTCTCGAGATTAAGAAAGAACAAACAAATGCCCGACCATATTTTTAAATTTAAACAAATGTATCATTTTCATATATAGTTCTTTGTTTTTAAGATTTAGTTTATGCTTAGTCTCCATATCAAGTCTCACAAAGATAAATAGTTTGATCTCATTTGTATAGAAATAACTCATAGATTAATTTTTCTTTTGTTTTCAGATTATATATCATTCTATGAAAAATTTACAAATCATTATTCAAAATTCATGTGTTTTTATCTTAAAAAAATCATAAACATCAAGCGAGGATAACAATATATATTTATATAATACAAAGAAGAATCATCCATGGAAGTCCCACTCCTAAAAACACATTGAGTGAAGTGCTTCCAGTGATATTACCAATGGCGTTGTCGGCATATCTTTCCTGCACGGCTGCTGCTTTTGATGCAGATAAATCTGATAGTGATGTTCCGAGAACCACAAATATAATAGCCGTTATAGTGTTGTGCAATCCAACTGAGCTAACAGAAATACACGCCATGTCTCCAATAATCTCTGTTAATATTCCAATAGCAAGCAAAGATACAAAAAATGTTAACCATCCTCCAAGTATAGATGTGGGAGAAACGAGAGGGAAGATAATCTGAAAGAAGTAAAATATCGAAAGTTATTTTGTTCATTTTTTTTTTTCTGCTTCAAAATCGTCTATGATAGAAATTTCAATATTTTTCTCCACTTCTGCGTGTTGAAAAACAAGTCTTCCACGTCCTTCACTAAAATCTTTTCTATGGAAAGCGGATTTATCAATTATTCTCCATTTATAACTGATAAGGCCAATCCGCACCTCGTTTTCTTACAACAGGTATTAAAATAGTGCTGACATTCTCCTTCAGAATCATACAACTTTTTAAAATTCTAAAATGCCGGGTTCTACAATATTTATAAAAATGCTAAATTTACTTATAATAGAAATAAATACGGTATAACCAATGTAAGGTTTAAAATGAAATGCTAACTCACTATCATCATTCAAAATAATAATTTCCATGATGCAAGCTCTTAAAGCAACGTCTTCAATTTTTTCTTCGCAACTTAATTTTAAGAAGAAAGTTTTGTCTGATTCCCATTGATTATCATCAGCTATCTCTACAAAAACACTGTTTCATTTGGGTTGAAAAATACTTTATTTTCTATTAATCTTCTTCTGCTACTGCAGTCCAATTCTTTCTAATCTATTGAACAATCCATAAAAAATTACATTTTAGTATATAACAAAAATTAAACAATCATCACAATAAAAATAAAATAAAAAATTGCACACATGCACATGCATCTTTAGTGGCATGTGAAGCATGGGTTTTTCACAAGGAAGCCAGACGACGACCAGATGCCATAGAAAGAAAATGGTATGGAAGCTACTCAGAGTAGAATGGCATAATATGGTCACAAATGACGAAGTCTATAAATGAGTCCACTCAGCAAAAACGCTATTCCAACGTGTTATCCAAAGGGAACTCATCCTTCTTGGTCACGTCTATAGAACGAGTGGCAACAGAGCAATTAAAACTATATTACTTGGAATCATGGATGGACCAAATAAAAGAGGTAGGCTACGTAGGGAATGGATGGATGATATGAAAGAATGGTACAAGAATAGTAGGAGTTGGTTCTCCGTGTCCTAAACACAGAGGGTTGAAAATAGCATCAAGACTCCAACGGGCACTGGTCTCATGGGCAGTGATGATGAGATGACATAGGAATCCAAGGTCTTTAGGCTTATTGATGAGATGATGAGCAATATAACATACGGACGATCTGCCAAGGAGATTGCCCCTCAGAAGGACTTTCCAATTTAAATTGGCTCTGACTTGGATTCGTTGGTCAGCGCAAACTTACGACCCAGTGTTCAGTGTTTTTTTTCCCTTTGGCCACTGGTGGGCTCAAATTATAGTGTACACACAATGTGCAATGTCTAAAACTTTCATAAGTAAAAAGAATAAATAAACTCCGAAACCTTAAAAACGAAAAAACCTCTGAAAGCCAACATGAATATATTGCAAAGCGCTGTAACACAGGAGTATCTATAAACGTAAAAGACTATAAAATAATAACACATACCTCTAAAAAATTTTACTATTTGTTTGTAGAATTTTTTCAATTCATATATGAGTAATTCGTATAACAATTTGAACATAACTATATAATAAAACGAATGATATATTGTGACATTACAATGCCTGGCTGCAATTTTTAATCATATTTTTAATTTATTTATCTTAAAATGTATGCTCTCCACCTCAAATTAGTAATGGCTTTTGCCTGTACTGTACATCATACTTTTCCTTTAACAATAGAGTCCTGCCAGTCATCTATCTAACACCTTTCAGGGGAAATTTTTGAATTGGAATTTATTGTCATCATTTCCACATCTTTTTGATATTTTGAAGAAATAATTTTAACTGTTAAATTTATTTAAAGTAGCTTTTAATAATAAATCAATGGACTACATTTAGTGCTATCATTAATAATTAACTACTGAGTAATTTGGTACTAGAGGTAAGCGTTAGGCGCCATCTCTTATTAAATTTAATAATTATAATTAAATTAATATTTACTAAATAATTTTAAAAATTCCGGAAAAGATTAGTCCAATTCATTAGGNTTTTTGGGAATAATCCATATAAACTATGCTATAAACAAAAAATTGTAGGATTACTTACCGAGTGTGCACCGTTCGACGACGCCATTGGTTAAGCTTGTTTTCGTCATGGAGCGGCGTATCGAACGGCGGGCGCGTGTTTTCTGATAAATTATTTTTTATGCGAAAAATTCGCTGAACTTTGGAGACATCATTAATATAAATATAATTTTTATGGCCGTTAAATAATAAATGGTAGGTCCGCCGCTCGTTTAAACTCAACGGTTTGTGCAATATCCGTTATTGGTCTAGATTCGACCAATTCTGTCGCGACACGAGTCGGCGATGACGTTTTACCGTATCATACGAGTCTCTTTTAGCGTGTTTATACGAATACGATCGCAATTTTTCCGCCGTTATATACGAATCCATATTATATGAACTCGTTTTATAGGGGGGTCTACTGTAAAATATTTGAATTTCTTTATTTGTAATAACATTTACCTTACCATATTAATTAATTAAAATTAAACAAATATTACAATATTGTATAAAGAATAATGTTAATTAAGATTTTTCACTTACACAAAATGTTTCATCCAAATGTTTAAGGAGTGGATTNTCTCCAAGACAAACTATATGTGTTTCTGGACGGGGCGCCAATAAAGTGTCGTGCCCCGAGCGCCAGTTATGTTCGCTACGCTACTGACCAAGGGGGCGCCATAATAGGATCTCGCTCCATCCTAAAACTTGCCTCAGGCCGGCACTGCTTTCAAGAGGTCTTTTCTCGCTTTTTACCCGACTACATTGTGATCGGGTCTATAATAGGAAAATTTCATGAATTTTGAAGATTCCTGATCGAATTTATTAAATGATATTCTATTTTAAATAATGTTTTAAACTTAATAATATCTTAACTATTACATTTAAATTACGAAAGTATAAAGCAAACATTTCAATAGTTTAAAATAGAGAAATTCAACATTTAATTACAATGTAATCCACCAGATGGCAGTCATGATAGGACGAATCTTTAACCACGTGTTAAACGCCATCTTTTTCAATAGTTTAAAAAGAAATTTTTACATTTTTATTTCATTTTATTTACTTGTTATTTGTATTGTACTTAAACATTTACCTATTTCATTATTACCAATTATTTTTATTGCCAATTATTTTTCTGTTTCCCTTATATTTTTGTACCAAACATAAAACCTTTTCTTGTTTTGTGACGAAGCTAAACTTTATTTTATTGTTGAAAAAAGGAAAGATAAACCAGTTTCCATTTATATAACTTCTCTATATTTTTTTAGTTTATTGTAATTTGGAATAATGTGTTTCTGTATAATAAGTGAAATCAAATTTCACTTATTATTATATACATTTTATAATTCAATAAGTGATAATTGAAGGATAAAAAAAAAGATGTTATACAGAATACATGTTAATTAAAAAGTAGATTTAGAGTCGTAAAAGTATTTTTAAATCTATTTTTTCGGATTTAATAATTAGTAAATTAATTAAATCCGAATAAGTAAGTAATTAAAATATCTTTAGCGAGATATATTATAAAATAACACAGAATTAAAATATTTTCTATAATAAAAAATAATTGTGTTTTATAAGATTTCAAATTAAATCTTTCGTGTTACGTGAAAATGCATTTTTAAATTTTATTTCCTGTTTTATTTCGCATGGAAAAGGGCAGTTTTATGAGAAATTAACACGTTAATGCCCGATAGAAGCGATTAGAAATGTTTTAGTTTTCCGGCTTTTTTAATACAGGGAAAGTAAAAAAAATCGGTCGAAAAATGACTCTCCTACACAAGATTTTTACATTTTTGGACCCAGGAGACTTTGAAACGTCGAGAAATGCAAAAGAAATTTTTCGGGGGGATTTTTCTGTACACCTGAAATTTGTGTGTGATACAATTTTGTTCACCCATTTTGAAGCTAAATAACTCTTGTTTTTTCGTCGAAAATTTTTGAAATTTTGCGGGTAGGTTTGTGTATTAGGAGAGTTGACGCTATTAAATTTTGGAGATCAAAAGTCGAGGGAGTGAGGAGATAAAAGACTTAATGACGATTTTACTTGTTATATTTACATTATTTTATATAAAACTCATCCCTATCCTCATCCTCAAAATTAAGCATTTTGTCATTTTATAATAATTAATAATATATAAAACTTTTAAACACAGTCTCGTAACAGATGACGCCACAAGCAATTTTAATATTTTTGCCGGGAAAGTTACATAACTTGTAGCTGGATTTTTTTTAATTCGAATTTTGAAGGTAGCCATCTTGTAATGCTTAATTTTTTTTTGTTTTCAGAAAGGTTTTTGTGTTTCTTTTATATAATATATTTACATTATGACATGATTATTATGTCACTTATACAATTAAAAGAATGCTTTCTCCAATTATCAGAAACTAAAAGTTAAATTAAGCTCATATTTTATTGTATATCTATTAAAAATCGATATATAATATTAATAAATCATGCGAGCTCATTAATTTATCATATTTTACGCGTGACTTTCTTAATTATATTATTATATAGTGACAAAAATAGAGAAGTCACGCAACATGAGCGCATAGTACGATAGCTCAAGATAATTTTTAAAACTGTGAAGACTATTTAATATATTCAAAAAAAAAAATACTTTGAAGGTGTAAAGTTCATTCCAGGTAAGATAAATTTAATATATTATGAATGGAAAAGAAAGATTAAGTCCATAGAAGAATTCTGTCAGAAATGAAGATATATGAACAGAAAACAAGTCAAAAGCTTATGATTTTATCAGTTTCATCCAATTATGAATCCAGTTTGTAATGTTACATTTGGACATGAAGAAGTCGTGATAATAATAATGATGTGCTGTAAATGAGAATAAAAAATAAAAAAAAAAGCTAATCTTCCTTTAATCCTTTCTGATGAAATAATAATTTACTTAATTGTAACTCCCTCCAGCAGTACTTTCAGAAGAATTATAATGATCTAGTCTTGTATTTTCTGTAGTTTTCCATAAAAAAATTAATTTATTTTAAATGATAATGTAACATATCAACCTTATAGATCTTAATATTATAGAATAAGTTCATTTTTTCACAATTTAAGAGCATAGTTTATGATAAAATGCAACGACCAAGGTTAAAGTTGCAATACTTAAAACAATAGACAGAGGAGGAGGAAGCCATACTTCTTAAAGAATTTATAGAGTAGGCTTCAAAACAAGGCTTTCAAGAGCCTACGCATCGACTGAATATTTAAATTGGTTGATTAAAAATAAACATAATATATTGTTAATAATTATCTTCGGGTCAAAACTTTTTATTCAACAGTGGATTGTACAAGATACATAAAACTAACCAGATAAAAACTTCCACCCAAAACCAGGATACTTCCACGAGTGGTCGGAGCAGAAGATAAATGACGTGCATTATTTACAGTGGAAAAACATTAGCAAATAAATAGAATCGTTAACAACTGAACCGAAGGAACTCATTCTTTTTTATGTTCTGTTCTTAATTGTAAAACCTCGGTTCGGTTCGACAATAAATGAGGAACCAGAGAACACCTTTGAATCCAAGAAGTTTCGATAGTCTCATTGTGGTTTCTCACAATCTGAAACAAAAAAAGGATATTGCTTAATCTCTATTTGAGCATTTAAATTGTTAAACAACTGAGATTATAGACTTACAACATATTTCGCAATCCGTTTCGTCACTGTTATCGCCGCAACCATCCATGCCACTACACAAAATGGCTGTCGATCTACAACGATTGTTTTTGCATCGAAAGTGATTGGAAGGGCAAGTAATTCCTGTATATAAGCATAAGTTTTAATTTAAAATCGGCTTTAAATTTATATGCAAATTATCTTTACGATATTCACCTTTCTGACAGACTTCGTACGTTTCGTCACTGCCATCTGCACAATCAGAAACGGCGTTACAAAACGAATATTGAGGTAGACACTGTCCGTTAGAGCATCGATGAGCTTTCTCATCGCACGGTATTCCTGATTAAAAACAAATTATTAATCTACGTTGATTTAGTATTTAAAATTAAAATTTTATAAAAATAAAAGTTACCTTTGTAGCATCTAGCTTCGTCACTACCATCCGGACATTCCCATCTTCCATTACAAACAAGACCACGCGAAAGACATGTGCCATCGTTACATTGGAATGCTTCTTTAGGACACTCTACGGAGATTGTTAATTGAGTTTATCTAGAGATTATTCCATTTAATTCACTTTAATTACTTACTGAAAGGAATGCACTCGTCTTCGTCGCTGTTATCTGGACAATTGGTTTCCTTATCACAGACATAATACCAGGAAATGCATTGACCATTTCTGCACTGGAAAGTGTCATTGTGGCATCCTATTAATAGATATATAATTTGCTAAGTAGCTCGAAAACAATCTCTTAAATTTGATTGGCTTTCGTCAATGCCTTACAATTTTACCACATAAAATTAACACTTGGACGTTTTATTTTTGAATTATAATGCTTTTTGCACGCTCTTAATTGTGATTAAATCTGTTTATCTTAATAAAATAGTTAATAGGTGTAACGTGCTACCAAAAAAACAGCAAATAGAAACGTTAATAAGTAGCAAATCTCAGGTGAAACTGAACAAAGAAGCCAAGTAATCATTCATTACATGCACCGTACACATAACGAACATTCATCATCATTACACAAAAATGTGTTTTTGTCATTTTGCCAAGTAACATTTCCTTAACTTACAGAGGAAAATGAATACTTTACATCTAAATTACAATGCAAATTGTTTCTTTGTTAGCAAATACAGTTTAAAAGAGCTTCAAAAATTGAAAAAACAACTATGGGCAGTACCTAGACGATACGAAAGAGAAACGAGGAAATTTTGATATTGAGGAAATGGAATGGAGAAGGAGCATTTACGAGGTCACGCTGTAGAAAGTCAGACCGGTCAAAACAGTCTCGATCTCATTAAGCGGGACGAGCAGTCACTATTCATTACCAGGATCCATTTACAAAGCCCAGTGACAGTAAAGAATTTGAAGCAGGAAAACTAACGTTTAACTATGTTAAAGACGTTGTAATTTAAAAAGGTGTGCTAAAAAAATTACGGAAGTAACATTAAAAAATTTATTAATATATTGATACAACGTTATTTTAAAAATTACTTATATATTTTCTTGTACTTTAATTTTTAAAGCATGATAAATCAAGGTCGACCATGCGAAATGTGTCATACTTTCTTCAAAGATGGAATTTTAATTTTTATTTTTTAGATTATTATTTTTTGATTAAAAAAGAGGAAAATTTATAAAAGATAGGCTACTTTATTCGGGTGAATTATCTTATTACCTCGGTTGCCAGAGTTGCAGTTTGGTGTCGGCTTGATGCACTCGCAGATACCATCGATGCATGAACTGTACGGATCGCGAACTTGACATTCTGAATGTGATTTACAGGATCTTCCCAGTGAGACGGGTGCTACGTCTTCTTTGACGGACAATACCAAAGGTTTATCTGACAGAAGAGAAAATAAATCACTACAAACGCAACCTTCCCCTATTGTTTGTTCTAATGGAGGAGTCAATCAAACTTTGTTATTCTTTCTCTCCTCCCTCTTGTAAAAGTTGCTAGACCGAAAACATTGTTAGAAAAATATTTATAGATCTTTCTTTATTTATGAAAAAAGAAAGAATAATATTAATAATTAATTAATTTCTTCTGTGTTTTACTTTCTTCGCAAAAATTATAAATTGTGGATAGAAATTTAAATATCTCTTCTTTATAAATAACTAGTCAAGAAGAAAATATATATGTGCCAGTCTAGTAATTATTGAAAAGTAAAAACTTGTAGAGCATTTTTTTTTTAAAGTTCTTTTACAAATCTTCTTCTTTTACTAATTTATAACAAGAAAAATTGGATAAAAATTAAAAATCATATTATACGTTTCAATAATTTTACACTCGTTTATAAAAATATTATCGTTTTTGATATATTTTTTCCCTTCTTCTGTTCTCTAATTTATTTCTTAAAAATATGAATAAATAAAATTACATATTTACATTTGCATAATAATATACAATAAATCCATTAGGTTTATAATTTCAAGTTGTTAATCCTCATGCAGGAAGATTGTATAGATTATTTATAGAGTCAAAGGCTAAGAAGATCATTTATAAGGCTGCACCTAAGCAATCTTTGACTCTATTTTATATATTATACACAAGTATGGAGTCATAAACACCGCCTATGCAATTCTTTCGTCTCATTTTTAGACAGAGTTACAAGTATAAAAGTCACAATAGATCATTTATAAAACCATGATTAAATGGTCTATCAGATTCTATTTAGGTTTGTGAGTAAAAATTAGTGCCGGAGAGACCGCCCAGGTCATTCATAATAAAAGAAAAAGAAAAAAATAGTGTACCTTCTACGGTGTCTGGCTGACAAAACATTTTATTCTTTGATATATGAAACCCTTGACGACACGAACAAATGGATTCTTTTCCCTTTTGCTGTTGGCAATAGGAGTTTGGTGTGGCATATTCGCAATCTTCGTTGCTTTGGCACTTATTCTCCAAATCTGTAATTATTGAAGTTTGCATGATAAAAAAAATTTTAATAATAGTTTCTTGTGTAAAGTTTCTATTACAGAACGTAGCTTTTGTTAAGTTTTTTTTAATTTCTTCAAGGAGGAAAAAAATTCAAAAGAATGGTTTCACTCAGATGAATACATAAAAGTAATAAATAAAAAATCGAAGAAAAAAACAGGAATATACAAAAATAAGAAGAAAAATATGAATTTTTTTATTATTTTAAAAGTCGTATTCAGGCACTAAGAGATGAGACCGGAAGAACAAGATGAAAGTTTAAATTCCAAATATCCTAAACCAAATCCAATTTTCATATCAAAAGATAAGGCTATTCAGGATGCTTTAAAGATTTAAATGATCTTACATGTTTATATAAGTGTACGTCTTAAGAACCATAAATATAATGAGATAATTGTGGTAATGTGCTTAAAAGGTCAAAGTTGTTGCATGCTTTCTATTAAAAAAAGAAAAAAAATGTAAAGGCTTACTCACAAGGAAGGCATTTATCATCTTCCGTGACTAGATAGCCATATGGGCATTGGCATTTTCCGTAGATCCTTGGTATGATGTATTTGCAATAGCTGAAAGGGCTGGATAAATGGCACTGAACATTATTCAGACAATAATCTCCAACTGTTGCAGCTGTAAAGGAAGAAAAAAATAATAATGAAAATTGGTATATAGCTTACATTTTTCCTTCTCGGTTATCATAAATTTGATTGCAAAAGAGAATAAAATTATTCCCGATGCATGAAAAGTAGCGTTACAAAATATTACGGTTGGGTTACACATCCTTTTTATGGAAATCATCTCTATTATTCACACTCCATTGAACTAACGTAAATTTTACAGGATGAAAAATTGATGCTATTATTTTCTCCTTTGCGAAAACCGGTGCTAAATCTAACAGTAAAAAGCATTATCCGGATGGTACTTTTATATAAATGATGTTTAAAAATGCTATTCTTATCCATTTTGAATAATGTCATTCTGTATAAACGTTCAGAATATCGTATGCTAAATTAATTTTAAGTAATCTAATTACTTAAACATAATTTATACTTTAAAAACGATGACAAATTCATCATTTTAGTAGTAATTAAGTATGGCATAGTTTGAAATGTAGTTAAGTCCGCCATATTTGATTAATTATACTTATAAAACAAAAGTTTTTATGTAATTAGTTATAGTTCGATGACGTTCTTAACTAAAATACTTACGTGGAAGGCATTTGTCTCGACGAAGTGGCACATGATTGGGTTGACATTGACATAATCCATTGATGCATTCACTATGCGGTACTTTCAGAGTGCATTGCTCATCGACCGCACATCCGAAACCAAGCAGCGAAGCTAAGGGAGAAACGAACTTTAACCCTCAAAACAAGACAATTTTGCATTGTTAAAGTTCATCATCTTTACCTGGCAGACAAGCGGTATCATTATATCGAATGTGGTAAGGTTGGCAGGAACAGATCCTATCATCCCAATCGCAGAAACTATGTTGAACAAATAATAGACATTCTAACGATGATTTACACGGATCGTCTAATTTCATACTTGTGGGTAAAGGTGCTAATGAAAAGAAAAATAATCTCTTTAGTTAATGTATTACAAATACACGATGCTTAGTTTACGCCAAGCAACACATAACTACACCTTAATTCGCGTTAATTTTGAATAGACCTTATCCATAATAAAGTTTAAGATAGTTGAGGGATGAGAAATAATATTCCTTTTCTAACGATCTATCCTGAAAATATATAATGATTAAGCTCAAATTTGAACCCGATCCATCAAGATATTTTATTTCTTTAACTGTTTCCTCCCTGTATTTGCTTAGAGGGCCTCATTCTATAACCACCATGGATCTTCAATGAGAGTGGTTGTATGATGAGGAATGGTTTTAGTTTCATGGAATAAATCAATGTAATACAAGAAAAAAAAATGCCTTCGAGGATGACTTCTATGAGAAGCTGGCCCCTATTTGGGTGTTTGACACGTGATAAAAACCCGGAAACTCCACGCGGCCAGCCTATTCATCAGACACGAACTTAATACCAACTATCAGGGTTCAGTGATTTCAGGGCTTTTGGTGGTCAGCGATGGACAGGTTACAACACATCTAATCAAACAAATCCATAGAAACTTCTTATTCGAACCTGGATCCCCAAGAGAGCTTGTTGTTGCCTTTATTGCCTGGGTCATCTACCCATCATCCTTACGAAATTAATAAGAGGAAGAAACCTTATTGAGCCTCATCCGGCAAACTTAAATAAAAATTTAAAAAATATTCTCACGAATGTTGAAATTCTGGCAAGACAAAATTAAAGGAGGAGATCACCTCCAGCAATAATTTTAGGAATTTTGGTCACCCGGAGATAGGGAAGCCTAAAATTAAATTGGTAAATGGACGAGGAAACATTTTATAAATAATAAAAAAAAAAAGAATAAACAGGAAGTGATAACGATGAAAACTCGTGCTTAACCCCGAAGGGACGACGACGCCCTAATAATCTGTTAAAAAATATATATATTAAGGGGAGAGTGAAAGATCGATTTTTGTCCGGAGGCAACACAAACTGTTGTCGAACACACCTCGATTCTAAATACTTAAAATTCTGATCGTATCTTTCCATCGATTATAAACGAAGCGAGCATCGACGGCATTACTTTTAATCTGCTCCTGTAAATTTATATTTAAATTTACTAAAAATGAAATTATAATTTAACACTTAAAACACAGATCATTATCTAATACAGCCATACAACCAATCACGAGCATATTTTTAAATCTCTCTCGCAAAGAGATCTATTTCTCGCGAGATTTTAATAACGAAGCTCGCGGATTCGTTATTAATTTATGACGTCACTACACTTTAAAAATTTAAATTTAACGTAATTATTAAAGCATCAAGCCGAAACGAAAATGGCACGTTGACGTATTTATCGAATTTAATAAAGTTCTTAAGCAGAACCGAAGCATCCGGATGCTGGGGAGACAGTGGTGTTAAAAAAATGAAACTTTCAGTAATTAGTAAAAGAGAGGAAATAATTTAGTTGATAATTTAAGAAAAATGACATTTAAAAATAGTATTTATTTTAAGTGTGGAGGTCAGTCGGTCGAGTAGCGAAAATAATTTCTCACCATATTTAACAGCTATAACAGGATGGACACCGATGAAGACAGTTACCTGAAAACAGAAAGGAAATCGCCGTTACTGTCATATTTATCACAATTATTATTTACTTTAATTATTTTCTAGTCCGTCGGTTGGTAAGACATTGATTGAACGTAGTGTGACGTCTTTGTTCCACATACGAACACGTGCTGCTCCTCTCCCACTTTCGGTGTCAGTCTCATCACGTTGGCCTATTATTCCTAAGGTTAGATAAATATATCTTGCACTTCGCACAGAAATACAATTATCGTCGCCATTTCCGGCCGTACGTCAAGATTTTGAGAAATGTTTTCTTGATAAACGCTGTCTTTCTTGTTTTCGTATGCCTTCTGTTTCATTTTGTGGTTGTTACGGTGGCTCTCTTCTACTCTATTATAAAATATTTAAAGGATGATACGAAACAGTTCGTTGCTTGCTTATCTCTCCCGTAGTTTAAAGATGTAATTTTATGGTAGTGTGTAAAGTTTTGCGCTCTAAACACTACTTTATCGCTGTATGAGTAGCATTTTCTTGTATTTTCTTACACTAAATACAAATTAATAAAATTTTAACACATTGTTATATTATCCTCACCTTCACATAATTCAACGGTTTAATCATTATTGCAAGGGCTTCTTAGGGCCCGCTTAGAGCCTGTAAACCAGCGTTATGATATCGCGTATTTTATATCGCCATTAGTAAACGGCAACACTAAGAACAGGATCCGATTTAGACTTATAGGCTCTAAGCACAACATATGAGAGGCCCTTCCAGTAATAAATAAGTTTTCAAACTGATGCCCTAAGCTGTAGCTTGTGTATAAATTCGCCTCGAGTGAGTACTAAATTACTACTATAAATACATCACATGTATTTAATACAGTTTACTAACATCCCGACAGCTTCCTTATATTCGTTAAGACGTATTTTTTAAAACGAAAATAAGAAAGATATTAATGTTATGAGCCGTATAAGGTAATTAACGAGATAAATTATGGAAGAAACGATTTACTTTCATTGTACTTACCAAATACAGTAACTTTGTCGTTAAATCGTAATGATTCGGATCGTCTTTCAAGACCATTCTTCGCCGAAAACCTGAAATTATGAAACGATAAAAAGTTGTTTAATTGTCGACAACTTCCTCTAGTGAATGTATGATGAGAGTATTTTCTAACATTGACATTATTTTTGACCCATTTTTTATAAATAATGACACAAATATTGAATGATTCGAGGAATTTTAATATTGATTTTTTTTTTGCTTAAGTTTATTTGATTTTATATTTAATTATTAGTGAAATAATAGTAAGAAAGAATAATAGAAAACAATTTGAGTTAGATTTAAATGGGTCAAGAATATAATAATTATTTAACTTTATATATATCCTCTCGGAACTTTATAAATATCTCGTAAAGATGTATAAAATTAGTAAATTTCGATCGAATAAACACGCGTATTATCTAACGAGCCATTCATTTCACTGTATAATTTGAATAATTTATATTTAAAGTTAATTTCTCCTGATTTAGATGTTACTCGGACTTTTCAGAAGATGAAGTTGGGTGAGAGATGATAAAAACAATGGCGTTTTAGTAACTAAAATGTGAATTAATTGATCCGTGTTTACAATAATGAAACTGAAAAAATTTACTTGGGCTTAAGTTAGGAGGGGGTGGGCTTAAGGGGTGGAGACCACCATAGTATTTTTGCTAAGGTGTCGAAGAATATTCGTCCCAAATTTGGCGCGGATACGTTCAATGATATAGAAGGAGATTAATGTTGACGTGCGATGTGACGCGTCAGTAAATATGAAGAAAGGAGAGTGCTGTATCACACGCTGTACACCACGATGTTAATTGTAAATTTAGCTTGAATTAGTAGCTTTTCATTCTTAAAAACTTAAATTTTTCCCGTTGAAAATAAGATAATCTATAAATCAATAGGCTATAGATGCAACGTGACATCGTGGGTGTAGTTTGAGCGCGTGACTAATTTGTCTTCGGGTTTATCGATCAAATTTCGTTCCTTATTAAAGTGAACTTTCATATTAATCACGGATCTGTCATTTCTTATAAAAGGCATAAATTTTAAAATAATTTCTTTGCGTTTTCAATTAGATATATTGAAAATTTATTATTATTACAGTGAAGCGCGACGAGCGCAAACATGAGTAACGCGATAAGAGTATTTCTAATTGATATAAAAGCTACTTTAAAATTATAAATAAAAAAGATTTATAAATAATTTGTCTAAAAACAATCTTAATTTAGTATTTTCTCGTGATAAAATCGCAGTAAATAGTCGCATTTTCGTACAAATTGCTGAGCAACAATCAACAGACAGTGAAGTCTTTGTTGGAAGTAAAAATCAAGCCAGCGATTTACTTCAACATCTCTAAAGAGAGATGGGTAGGTTTTAATAAAAATCGAATTAAATTTTCGTGTCTGCTATACCTTACAAATGTAGTTCCATACTTAGTTTTTCCCTATAACAATTGTATAGGCCTATACCAAAGGACTTTTTGGTTTAACAATCGCTCTATTCTTGTCTAGAACCGTTCCGAATCTTTATTATAGATCGAAATTACCATTCCACATGTCGTAAGATATTCGGAATTGTTGTAGGAATTTTTCTTTTTTCTTCTTTTAGTAATGGGTTGGGTTCACAAATCCCATCATCCCGTAACTATAGGGTGTTTTGAAAGATTCTAAGCGAAGAAAAATTACATTTTTCGGTTCTCATTTTCAATACCGAAAGACAAAGAACTGTTGTGCAAAATACACCCTTACTACTACTAATAGTGTCTGGATTTATATTTATATATATATTACCTGTTTCTCCAGTATTGAATGAGTCAGACAGTTTCGTGTTTCTTCAGGTGTGGGGGGGAGGAGAATTGCATCATTACTCTATTGTGAGGCATTATACACGATCAAAGATATGTTGCATTATGTTTCTAAAGGCAACGTGTATGAGAAACGTATTTTATTATTATTAATACTTGTTTGATATACACCGTAAAAATGCTTACGGACGGGAAGAGAAATCGTCCTATCGCTTTTCTATAAATTAACGCAGAAAGAATACTTTGTTTGTTTTAATTAAAACATAGTTTTTGTCTCTCCGTCTAGCTCTAGCCTATGGCTAAAGAAAATAACAGTTCGCTGAACTCAACGACCCATCCTATAGCATTCTTCCTGTCGTGTTGGTATGTTGTATATGGATCCGCAATATCCTCGATGTATTTAAATCCGATTAAACTAAACTTAATTTCGAGAAATCTAATTACGTTCTGTTGATAGTAACCAGGTGAAAAGAACTTTTTTTTTTAATAATAATTCTTCTTAGGTGTTTACGAATCGGTGAAAGGAGCCGAGTGAGAAATAAATCATCTGTTCTCGAAGTATAAAGAAAAAATTATTCCGGTTATTGACCGGTTTAAATGTATTCACGGAGCCAAGACGTAACTGTAGAAAAATGGAAGACGTCGATGATAAATGTGAATTCCCCTTTTTTTAATTATAAAATATTTCTAAAGGTGTAGACGGATCCTTAATCCACGTAACTCCTTTTATCTGTACGTAATCTTTCATCTTCCCTCTTAAGATAAGAACAATAATAATAACTTTAACAAAGGAAAAGAAACTTTCTATAAAGTGTCCGCCATATTTAATACCGAAATAATTGATCTTAAAGCTGATGTTAATCGAAATTGTATATTTTTATATGAACTTTGTTAAAATGACGTCACGGTCGAAGCGACGTCACCGAAGCGTCGGCCAAATCAAGGTCACGGTTCAGAGGTCGAAGAAGTGTGACCAGGATATATCCGTACTAGGTGAGGCAATTCAGGAAAGAGAAAATGGGTTTCGTTCGAAAATTATTATTATTATTATTCCCGAGGTGAAGACACTCGAAAATAATTAAAATTCGTTTTATATTGTTATTAAAACTACTTACAAATCCTCCCCCCAACCAGACCGGAAGCCACTGATGTGTACTTTAAGAAGTGTTCGAGATTCGAGCAGGTTACAATGATAGATTCTCCTTGAACTCTTTAACTCGAAGGGGGCTTCATTTAGGGACCGAAGACTTCTAATTGTCGAATGGCGATTGTGTCTAGCAAAGTGTGAAAGGCATAATTACCCCCTTTTTAAGAGGAAGGGCGGTGTCCTTTGCTAATTACAATAATGTAACTAGTGATAAATAACCTATAGCCTATAACCCACTAACATACAGCACTTGAAATACTTAACTGCCAAAGGTCTTTGTTCGAGTTGTAAGATTGGAAAAGGTTTGACACGACCCTCGAGGTCGATAATCATTAGTTAATGTCCAATGGTCGGTATTTTTTATATATATATATATATTTTTTTAATCAAAGAGAAAGTCGTTTCTAGATCTTTATACCAAGGTCGTAACCCAAATGTTGTNTATTTTCTATAATAAAAAATAATTGTGTTTTATAAGATTTCAAATTAAATCTTTCGTGTTACGTGAAAATGCATTTTTAAATTTTATTTCCTGTTTTATTTCGCATGGAAAAGGGCAGTTTTATGAGAAATTAACACGTTAATGCCCGATAGAAGCGATTAGAAATGTTTTAGTTTTCCGGCTTTTTTAATACAGGGAAAGTAAAAAAAATCGGTCGAAAAATGACTCTCCTACACAAGATTTTTACATTTTTGGACCCAGGAGACTTTGAAACGTCGAGAAATGCAAAAGAAATTTTTCGGGGGGATTTTTTTGTACACCTGAAATTTGTGTGTGATACAATTTTGTTCACCCATTTTGAAGCTAAATAACTCTTGTTTTTTCGTCGAAAATTTTTGAAATTTTGCGGGTAGGTTTGTGTATTAGGAGAGTTGACGCTATTAAATTTTGGAGATCAAAAGTCGAGGGAGTGAGGAGATAAAAGACTTAATGACGATTTTACTTGTTATATTTACATTATTTTATATAAAACTCATCCCTATCCTCATCCTCAAAATTAAGCATTTTGTCATTTTATAATAATTAATAATATATAAAACTTTTAAACACAATCTCGTAACAGATGACGCCACAAGCAATTTTAATATTTTTGCCGGGAAAGTTACATAACTTGTAGCTGGATTTTTTTTAATTCGAATTTTGAAGGTAGCCATCTTGTAATGCTTAATTTTTTTTTGTTTTCAGAAAGGTTTTTGTGTTTCTTTTATATAATATATTTACATTATGACATGATTATTATGTCACTTATACAATTAAAAGAATGCTTTCTCCAATTATCAGAAACTAAAAGTTAAATTAAGCTCATATTTTATTGTATATCTATTAAAAATCGATATATAATATTAATAAATCATGCGAGCTCATTAATTTATCATATTTTACGCGTGACTTTCTTAATTATATTATTATACAGTGACAAAAATAGAGAAGTCACGCAACATGAGCGCATAGTACGATAGCTCAAGATAATTTTTAAAACTGTGAAGACTATTTAATATATTCAAAAAAAAAAATACTTTGAAGGTGTAAAGTTCATTCCAGGTAAGATAAATTTAATATATTATGAATGGAAAAGAAAGATTAAGTCCATAGAAGAATTCTGTCAGAAATGAAGATATATGAACAGAAAACAAGTCAAAAGCTTATGATTTTATCAGTTTCATCCAATTATGAATCCAGTTTGTAATGTTACATTTGGACATGAAGAAGTCGTGATAATAATAATGATGTGCTGTAAATGAGAATAAAAAATAAAAAAAAAGCTAATCTTCCTTTAATCCTTTCTGATGAAATAATAATTTACTTAATTGTAACTCCCTCCAGCAGTACTTTCAGAAGAATTATAATGATCTAGTCTTGTATTTTCTGTAGTTTTCCATAAAAAAATTAATTTATTTTAAATGATAATGTAACATATCAACCTTATAGATCTTAATATTATAGAATAAGTTCATTTTTTCACAATTTAAGAGCATAGTTTATGATAAAATGCAACGACCAAGGTTAAAGTTGCAATACTTAAAACAATAGACAGAGGAGGAGGAAGCCATACTTCTTAAAGAATTTATAGAGTAGGCTTCAAAACAAGGCTTTCAAGAGCCTACGCATCGACTGAATATTTAAATTGGTTGATTAAAAATAAACATAATATATTGTTAATAATTATCTTCGGGTCAAAACTTTTTATTCAACAGTGGATTGTACAAGATACATAAAACTAACCAGATAAAAACTTCCACCCAAAACCAGGATACTTCCACGAGTGGTCGGAGCAGAAGATAAATGACGTGCATTATTTACAGTGGAAAAACATTAGCAAATAAATAGAATCGTTAACAACTGAACCGAAGGAACTCATTCTTTTTTATGTTCTGTTCTTAATTGTAAAACCTCGGTTCGGTTCGACAATAAATGAGGAACCAGAGAACACCTTTGAATCCAAGAAGTTTCGATAGTCTCATTGTGGTTTCTCACAATCTGAAACAAAAAAAGGATATTGCTTAATCTCTATTTGAGCATTTAAATTGTTAAACAACTGAGATTATAGACTTACAACATATTTCGCAATCCGTTTCGTCACTGTTATCGCCGCAACCATCCATGCCACTACACAAAATGGCGGTCGATCTACAACGATTGTTTTTGCATCGAAAGTGATTGGAAGGGCAAGTAATTCCTGTATATAAGCATAAGTTTTAATTTAAAATCGGCTTTAAATTTATATGCAAATTATCTTTACGATATTCACCTTTCTGACAGACTTCGTACGTTTCGTCACTGCCATCTGCACAATCAGAAACGGCGTTACAAAACGAATATTGAGGTAGACACTGTCCGTTAGAGCATCGATGAGCTTTCTCATCGCACGGTATTCCTGATTAAAAACAAATTATTAATCTACGTTGATTTAGTATTTAAAATTAAAATTTTATAAAAATAAAAGTTACCTTTGTAGCATCTAGCTTCGTCACTACCATCCGGACATTCCCATCTTCCATTACAAACAAGACCACGCGAAAGACATGTGCCATCGTTACATTGGAATGCTTCTTTAGGACACTCTACGGAGATTGTTAATTGAGTTTATCTAGAGATTATTCCATTTAATTCACTTTAATTACTTACTGAAAGGAATGCACTCGTCTTCGTCGCTGTTATCTGGACAATTGGTTTCCTTATCACAGACATAATACCAGGAAATGCATTGACCATTTCTGCACTGGAAAGTGTCATTGTGGCATCCTATTAATAGATATATAATTTGCTAAGTAGCTCGAAAACAATCTCTTAAATTTGATTGGCTTTCGTCAATGCCTTACAATTTTACCACATAAAATTAACACTTGGACGTTTTATTTTTGAATTATAATGCTTTTTGCACGCTCTTAATTGTGATTAAATCTGTTTATCTTAATAAAATAGTTAATAGGTGTAACGTGCTACCAAAAAAACAGCAAATAGAAACGTTAATAAGTAGCAAATCTCAGGTGAAACTGAACAAAGAAGCCAAGTAATCATTCATTACATGCACCGTACACATAACGAACATTCATCATCATTACACAAAAATGTGTTTTTGTCATTTTGCCAAGTAACATTTCCTTAACTTACAGAGGAAAATGAATACTTTACATCTAAATTACAATGCAAATTGTTTCTTTGTTAGCAAATACAGTTTAAAAGAGCTTCAAAAATTGAAAAAACAACTATGGGCAGTACCTAGACGATACGAAAGAGAAACGAGGAAATTTTGATATTGAGGAAATGGAATGGAGAAGGAGCATTTACGAGGTCACGCTGTAGAAAGTCAGACCGGTCAAAACAGTCTCGATCTCATTAAGCGGGACGAGCAGTCACTATTCATTACCAGGATCCATTTACAAAGCCCAGTGACAGTAAAGAATTTGAAGCAGGAAAACTAACGTTTAACTATGTTAAAGACGTTGTAATTTAAAAAGGTGTGCTAAAAAAATTACGGAAGTAACATTAAAAAATTTATTAATATATTGATACAACGTTATTTTAAAAATTACTTATATATTTTCTTGTACTTTAATTTTTAAAGCATGATAAATCAAGGTCGACCATGCGAAATGTGTCATACTTTCTTCAAAGATGGAATTTTAATTTTTATTTTTTAGATTATTATTTTTTGATTAAAAAAGAGGAAAATTTATAAAAGATAGGCTACTTTATTCGGGTGAATTATCTTATTACCTCGGTTGCCAGAGTTGCAGTTTGGTGTCGGCTTGATGCACTCGCAGATACCATCGATGCATGAACTGTACGGATCGCGAACTTGACATTCTGAATGTGATTTACAGGATCTTCCCAGTGAGACGGGTGCTACGTCTTCTTTGACGGACAATACCAAAGGTTTATCTGACAGAAGAGAAAATAAATCACTACAAACGCAACCTTCCCCTATTGTTTGTTCTAATGGAGGAGTCAATCAAACTTTGTTATTCTTTCTCTCCTCCCTCTTGTAAAAGTTGCTAGACCGAAAACATTGTTAGAAAAATATTTATAGATCTTTCTTTATTTATGAAAAAAGAAAGAATAATATTAATAATTAATTAATTTCTTCTGTGTTTTACTTTCTTCGCAAAAATTATAAATTGTGGATAGAAATTTAAATATCTCTTCTTTATAAATAACTAGTCAAGAAGAAAATATATATGTGCCAGTCTAGTAATTATTGAAAAGTAAAAACTTGTAGAGCATTTTTTTTTTAAAGTTCTTTTACAAATCTTCTTCTTTTACTAATTTATAACAAGAAAAATTGGATAAAAATTAAAAATCATATTATACGTTTCAATAATTTTACACTCGTTTATAAAAATATTATCGTTTTTGATATATTTTTTCCCTTCTTCTGTTCTCTAATTTATTTCTTAAAAATATGAATAAATAAAATTACATATTTACATTTGCATAATAATATACAATAAATCCATTAGGTTTATAATTTCAAGTTGTTAATCCTCATGCAGGAAGATTGTATAGATTATTTATAGAGTCAAAGGCTAAGAAGATCATTTATAAGGCTGCACCTAAGCAATCTTTGACTCTATTTTATATATTATACACAAGTATGGAGTCATAAACACCGCCTATGCAATTCTTTCGTCTCATTTTTAGACAGAGTTACAAGTATAAAAGTCACAATAGATCATTTATAAAACCATGATTAAATGGTCTATCAGATTCTATTTAGGTTTGTGAGTAAAAATTAGTGCCGGAGAGACCGCCCAGGTCATTCATAATAAAAGAAAAAGAAAAAAATAGTGTACCTTCTACGGTGTCTGGCTGACAAAACATTTTATTCTTTGATATATGAAACCCTTGACGACACGAACAAATGGATTCTTTTCCCTTTTGCTGTTGGCAATAGGAGTTTGGTGTGGCATATTCGCAATCTTCGTTGCTTTGGCACTTATTCTCCAAATCTGTAATTATTGAAGTTTGCATGATAAAAAAAATTTTAATAATAGTTTCTTGTGTAAAGTTTCTATTACAGAACGTAGCTTTTGTTAAGTTTTTTTTAATTTCTTCAAGGAGGAAAAAAATTCAAAAGAATGGTTTCACTCAGATGAATACATAAAAGTAATAAATAAAAAATCGAAGAAAAAAACAGGAATATACAAAAATAAGAAGAAAAATATGAATTTTTTTATTATTTTAAAAGTCGTATTCAGGCACTAAGAGATGAGACCGGAAGAACAAGATGAAAGTTTAAATTCCAAATATCCTAAACCAAATCCAATTTTCATATCAAAAGATAAGGCTATTCAGGATGCTTTAAAGATTTAAATGATCTTACATGTTTATATAAGTGTACGTCTTAAGAACCATAAATATAATGAGATAATTGTGGTAATGTGCTTAAAAGGTCAAAGTTGTTGCATGCTTTCTATTAAAAAAAGAAAAAAAATGTAAAGGCTTACTCACAAGGAAGGCATTTATCATCTTCCGTGACTAGATAGCCATATGGGCATTGGCATTTTCCGTAGATCCTTGGTATGATGTATTTGCAATAGCTGAAAGGGCTGGATAAATGGCACTGAACATTATTCAGACAATAATCTCCAACTGTTGCAGCTGTAAAGGAAGAAAAAAATAATAATGAAAATTGGTATATAGCTTACATTTTTCCTTCTCGGTTATCATAAATTTGATTGCAAAAGAGAATAAAATTATTCCCGATGCATGAAAAGTAGCGTTACAAAATATTACGGTTGGGTTACACATCCTTTTTATGGAAATCATCTCTATTATTCACACTCCATTGAACTAACGTAAATTTTACAGGATGAAAAATTGATGCTATTATTTTCTCCTTTGCGAAAACCGGTGCTAAATCTAACAGTAAAAAGCATTATCCGGATGGTACTTTTATATAAATGATGTTTAAAAATGCTATTCTTATCCATTTTGAATAATGTCATTCTGTATAAACGTTCAGAATATCGTATGCTAAATTAATTTTAAGTAATCTAATTACTTAAACATAATTTATACTTTAAAAACGATGACAAATTCATCATTTTAGTAGTAATTAAGTATGGCATAGTTTGAAATGTAGTTAAGTCCGCCATATTTGATTAATTATACTTATAAAACAAAAGTTTTTATGTAATTAGTTATAGTTCGATGACGTTCTTAACTAAAATACTTACGTGGAAGGCATTTGTCTCGACGAAGTGGCACATGATTGGGTTGACATTGACATAATCCATTGATGCATTCACTATGCGGTACTTTCAGAGTGCATTGCTCATCGACCGCACATCCGAAACCAAGCAGCGAAGCTAAGGGAGAAACGAACTTTAACCCTCAAAACAAGACAATTTTGCATTGTTAAAGTTCATCATCTTTACCTGGCAGACAAGCGGTATCATTATATCGAATGTGGTAAGGTTGGCAGGAACAGATCCTATCATCCCAATCGCAGAAACTATGTTGAACAAATAATAGACATTCTAACGATGATTTACACGGATCGTCTAATTTCATACTTGTGGGTAAAGGTGCTAATGAAAAGAAAAATAATCTCTTTAGTTAATGTATTACAAATACACGATGCTTAGTTTACGCCAAGCAACACATAACTACACCTTAATTCGCGTTAATTTTGAATAGACCTTATCCATAATAAAGTTTAAGATAGTTGAGGGATGAGAAATAATATTCCTTTTCTAACGATCTATCCTGAAAATATATAATGATTAAGCTCAAATTTGAACCCGATCCATCAAGATATTTTATTTCTTTAACTGTTTCCTCCCTGTATTTGCTTAGAGGGCCTCATTCTATAACCACCATGGATCTTCAATGAGAGTGGTTGTATGATGAGGAATGGTTTTAGTTTCATGGAATAAATCAATGTAATACAAGAAAAAAAAATGCCTTCGAGGATGACTTCTATGAGAAGCTGGCCCCTATTTGGGTGTTTGACACGTGATAAAAACCCGGAAACTCCACGCGGCCAGCCTATTCATCAGACACGAACTTAATACCAACTATCAGGGTTCAGTGATTTCAGGGCTTTTGGTGGTCAGCGATGGACAGGTTACAACACATCTAATCAAACAAATCCATAGAAACTTCTTATTCGAACCTGGATCCCCAAGAGAGCTTGTTGTTGCCTTTATTGCCTGGGTCATCTACCCATCATCCTTACGAAATTAATAAGAGGAAGAAACCTTATTGAGCCTCATCCGGCAAACTTAAATAAAAATTTAAAAAATATTCTCACGAATGTTGAAATTCTGGCAAGACAAAATTAAAGGAGGAGATCACCTCCAGCAATAATTTTAGGAATTTTGGTCACCCGGAGATAGGGAAGCCTAAAATTAAATTGGTAAATGGACGAGGAAACATTTTATAAATAATAATAAAAAAAAAAGAATAAACAGGAAGTGATAACGATGAAAACTCGTGCTTAACCCCGAAGGGACGACGACGCCCTAATAATCTGTTAAAAAATATATATATTAAGGGGAGAGTGAAAGATCGATTTTTGTCCGGAGGCAACACAAACTGTTGTCGAACACACCTCGATTCTAAATACTTAAAATTCTGATCGTATCTTTCCATCGATTATAAACGAAGCGAGCATCGACGGCATTACTTTTAATCTGCTCCTGTAAATTTATATTTAAATTTACTAAAAATGAAATTATAATTTAACACTTAAAACACAGATCATTATCTAATACAGCCATACAACCAATCACGAGCATATTTTTAAATCTCTCTCGCAAAGAGATCTATTTCTCGCGAGATTTTAATAACGAAGCTCGCGGATTCGTTATTAATTTATGACGTCACTACACTTTAAAAATTTAAATTTAACGTAATTATTAAAGCATCAAGCCGAAACGAAAATGGCACGTTGACGTATTTATCGAATTTAATAAAGTTCTTAAGCAGAACCGAAGCATCCGGATGCTGGGGAGACAGTGGTGTTAAAAAAATGAAATTTTCAGTAATTAGTAAAAGAGAGGAAATAATTTAGTTGATAATTTAAGAAAAATGACATTTAAAAATAGTATTTGTTTTAAGTGTGGAGGTCAGTCGGTCGAGTAGCGAAAATAATTTCTCACCATATTTAGCAGCTATAACAGGATGGACACCGATGAAGACAGTTACCTGAAAACAGAAAGGAAATCGCCGTTACTGTCATATTTATCACAATTATTATTTACTTTAATTATTTTCTAGTCCGTCGGTTGGTAAGACATTGATTGAACGTAGTGTGACGTCTTTGTTCCACATACGAACACGTGCTGCTCCTCTCCCACTTTCGGTGTCAGTCTCATCACGTTGGCCTATTATTCCTAAGGTTAGATAAATATATCTTGCACTTCGCACAGAAATACAATTATCGTCGCCATTTCCGGCCGTACGTCAAGATTTTGAGAAATGTTTTCTTGATAAACGCTGTCTTTCTTGTTTTCGTATGCCTTCTGTTTCATTTTGTGGTTGTTACGGTGGCTCTCTTCTACTCTATTATAAAATATTTAAAGGATGATACGAAACAGTTCGTTGCTTGCTTATCTCTCCCGTAGTTTAAAGATGTAATTTTATGGTAGTGTGTAAAGTTTTGCGCTCTAAACACTACTTTATCGCTGTATGAGTAGCATTTTCTTGTATTTTCTTACACTAAATACAAATTAATAAAATTTTAACACATTGTTATATTATCCTCACCTTCACATAATTCAACGGTTTAATCATTATTGCAAGGGCTTCTTAGGGCCCGCTTAGAGCCTGTAAACCAGCGTTATGATATCGCGTATTTTATATCGCCATTAGTAAACGGCAACACTAAGAACAGGATCCGATTTAGACTTATAGGCTCTAAGCACAACATATGAGAGGCCCTTCCAGTAATAAATAAGTTTTCAAACTGATGCCCTAAGCTGTAGCTTGTGTATAAATTCGCCTCGAGTGAGTACTAAATTACTACTATAAATACATCACATGTATTTAATACAGTTTACTAACATCCCGACAGCTTCCTTATATTCGTTAAGACGTATTTTTTAAAACGAAAATAAGAAAGATATTAATGTTATGAGCCGTATAAGGTAATTAACGAGATAAATTATGGAAGAAACGATTTACTTTCATTGTACTTACCAAATACAGTAACTTTGTCGTTAAATCGTAATGATTCGGATCGTCTTTCAAGACCATTCTTCGCCGAAAACCTGAAATTATGAAACGATAAAAAGTTGTTTAATTGTCGACAACTTCCTCTAGTGAATGTATGATGAGAGTATTTTCTAACATTGACATTATTTTTGACCCATTTTTTATAAATAATGACACAAATATTGAATGATTCGAGGAATTTTAATATTGATTTTTTTTTTGCTTAAGTTTATTTNAAAAGTTGTTTAATTGTCGACAACTTCCTCTAGTGAATGTATGATGAGAGTATTTTCTAACATTGACATTATTTTTGACCCATTTTTTATAAATAATGACACAAATATTGAATGATTCGAGGAATTTTAATATTGATTTTTTTTTTTTTTTGCTTAAGTTTATTTGATTTTATATTTAATTATTAGTGAAATAATAGTAAGAAAGAATAATAGAAAACAATTTGAGTTAGATTTAAATGGGTCAAGAATATAATAATTATTTAACTTTATAAATATCCTCTCGGAACTTTATAAATATCTCGTAAAGATGTATAAAATTAGTAAATTTCGATCGAATAAACACGCGTATTATCTAACGAGCCATTCATTTCACTGTATAATTTGAATAATTTATATTTAAAGTTAATTTCTCCTGATTTAGATGTTACTCGGACTTTTCAGAAGATGAAGTTGGGTGAGAGATGATAAAAACAATGGCGTTTTAGTAACTAAAATGTGAATTAATTGATCCGTGTTTACAATAATGAAACTGAAAAAATTTACTTGGGCTTAAGTTAGGAGGGGGTGGGCTTAAGGGGTGGAGACCACCATAGTATTTTTGCTAAGGTGTCGAAGAATATTCGTCCCAAATTTGGCGCGGATACGTTCAATGATATAGAAGGAGATTAATGTTGACGTGCGATGTGACGCGTCAGTAAATATGAAGAAAGGAGAGTGCTGTATCACACGCTGTACACCACGATGTTAATTGTAAATTTAGCTTGAATTAGTAGCTTTTCATTCTTAAAAACTTAAATTTTTCCCGTTGAAAATAAGATAATCTATAAATCAATAGGCTATAGATGCAACGTGACATCGTGGGTGTAGTTTGAGCGCGTGACTAATTTGTCTTCGGGTTTATCGATCAAATTTCGTTCCTTATTAAAGTGAACTTTCATATTAATCACGGATCTGTCATTTCTTATAAAAGGCATAAATTTTAAAATAATTTCTTTGCGTTTTCAATTAGAAATATTGAAAATTTATTATTATTACAGTGAAGCGCGACGAGCGCAAACATGAGTAACGCGATAAGAGTATTTCTAATTGATATAAAAGCTACTTTAAAATTATAAATAAAAAAGATTTATAAATAATTTGTCTAAAAACAATCTTAATTTAGTATTTTCTCGTGATAAAATCGCAGTAAATAGTCGCATTTTCGTACAAATTGCTGAGCAACAATCAACAGACAGTGAAGTCTTTGTTGGAAGTAAAAATCAAGCCAGCGATTTACTTCAACATCTCTAAAGAGAGATGGGTAGGTTTTAATAAAAATCGAATTAAATTTTCGTGTCTGCTATACCTTACAAATGTAGTTCCATACTTAGTTTTTCCCTATAACAATTGTATAGGCCTATACCAATGGACTTTTTGGTTTAACAATCGCTCTATTCTTGTCTAGAACCGTTCCGAATCTTTATTATAGATCGAAATTACCATTCCACATGTCGTAAGATATTCGGAATTGTTGTAGGAATTTTTCTTTTTTCTTCTTTTAGTAATGGGTTGGGTTCACAAATCCCATCATCCCGTAACTATAGGGTGTTTTGAAAGATTCTAAGCGAAGAAAAATTACATTTTTCGGTTCTCATTTTCAATACCGAAAGACAAAGAACTGTTGTGCAAAATACACCCTTACTACTACTAATAGTGTCTGGATTTATATTTATATATATATTACCTGTTTCTCCAGTATTGAATGAGTCAGACAGTTTCGTGTTTCTTCAGATGTGGGGGGGAGGAGAATTGCATCATTACTCTATTGTGAGGCATTATACACGATCAAAGATATGTTGCATTATGTTTCTAAAGGCAACGTGTATGAGAAACGTATTTTATTATTATTAATACTTGTTTGATATACACCGTAAAAATGCTTACGGACGGGAAGAGAAATCGTCCTATCGCTTTTCTATAAATTAACGCAGAAAGAATACTTTGTTTGTTTTAATTAAAACATAGTTTTTGTCTCTCCGTCTAGCTCTAGCCTATGGCTAAAGAAAATAACAGTTCGCTGAACTCAACGACCCATCCTATAGCATTCTTCCTGTCGTGTTGGTATGTTGTATATGGATCCGCAATATCCTCGATGTATTTAAATCCGATTAAACTAAACTTAATTTCGAGAAATCTAATTACGTTCTGTTGATAGTAACCAGGTGAAAAGAACTTTTTTTTTTAATAATAATTCTTCTTAGGTGTTTACGAATCGGTGAAAGGAGCCGAGTGAGAAATAAATCATCTGTTCTCGAAGTATAAAGAAAAAATTATTCCGGTTATTGACCGGTTTAAATGTATTCACGGAGCCAAGACGTAACTGTAGAAAAATGGAAGACGTCGATGATAAATGTGAATTCCCCTTTTTTTAATTATAAAATATTTCTAAAGGTGTAGACGGATCCTTAATCCACGTAACTCCTTTTATCTGTACGTAATCTTTCATCTTCCCTCTTAAGATAAGAACAATAATAATAACTTTAACAAAGGAAAAGAAACTTTCTATAAAGTGTCCGCCATATTTAATACCGAAATAATTGATCTTAAAGCTGATGTTAATCGAAATTGTATATTTTTATATGAACTTTGTTAAAATGACGTCACGGTCGAAGCGACGTCACCGAAGCGTCGGCCAAATCAAGGTCACGGTTCAGAGGTCGAAGAAGTGTGACCAGGATATATCCGTACTAGGTGAGGCAATTCAGGAAAGAGAAAATGGGTTTCGTTCGAAAATTATTATTATTATTATTCCCGAGGTGAAGACACTCGAAAATAATTAAAATTCGTTTTATATTGTTATTAAAACTACTTACAAATCCTCCCCCCCAACCAGACCGGAAGCCACTGATGTGTACTTTAAGAAGTGTTCGAGATTCGAGCAGGTTACAATGATAGATTCTCCTTGAACTCTTTAACTCGAAGGGGGCTTCATTTAGGGACCGAAGACTTCTAATTGTCGAATGGCGATTGTGTCTAGCAAAGTGTGAAAGGCATAATTACCCCCTTTTTAAGAGGAAGGGCGGTGTCCTTTGCTAATTACAATAATGTAACTAGTGATAAATAACCTATAGCCTATAACCCACTAACATACAGCACTTGAAATACTTAACTGCCAAAGGTCTTTGTTCGAGTTGTAAGATTGGAAAAGGTTTGACACGACCCTCGAGGTCGATAATCATTAGTTAATGTCCAATGGTCGGTATTTTTTATATATATATATATATTTTTTTAATCAAAGAGAAAGTCGTTTCTAGATCTTTATACCAAGGTCGTAACCCAAATGTTGTTGACCAGATGAATTTTATTAATTATCTTTTCTGCTCTCTTTTTTTGAAGATTTCCCTTTCCAATAGAATACAATGAAATCAAAAAAACAAGTAGGCATTCTAGTTGGAAGATGCTCTTATAACTCGAAGATTAGAAGGATTTATTGATCTTAAAGCTATTGTCTTGCTTAGAGGCACACTAATTTATATCTGGTGGCAATATTTAAGCGGTTAATAGATCCCGAACTTATTAAATTGGGGTGGGTTTTTTTAATAGTTTTGCAATTTTAATTTTATTTATTAATTACAATAACATATTCTCTATAAATTTAAATATATATATATTTAATTTTTATGCTTTTGTATATTAAATTTTTATAGTAAAGCTTAAAGTTCTGACGGATTATCGACCAAATTATATATGAAAATTCCAGTTACAAATCAATTCATAGATGTAAATTGATCTATAAAAGCGAAATTTATATATTTATATATATATATAAAGGCCATTTTTTATATGTTTTATAGCTCATATATTCTTCAAATTACAAGTCGGTGTTTGCTTTGATTATTTAAATTTTATTTAAATATAAATCTTCACAAATGGATAAAATTTACATACTACACACTACCTGTCGACATTGGATTCTATACACATTCATTAAAAAAAATAAAATAAAATGATGATAATTAACTTCAATTGCCCCCTTCATTGATTTTGAAAACAGAAAATGCAAATGATATGCAAAAGTAATGAATTGCAAAAAGCACTTTGGCGGCTTTCTCGTTCATCGGATTACCAACAACTGAGACCTGCAATTCATTTGCATGCATGGCATATTACCTGATATTAACAAGATTTAATTTAATTTTGTTTATTTATATCCTTGTCGAAGGAATTTCTGGTAAATCCATATCGAATTTTTCGGTACACGGTATTTTTTTTTTTTTTTTACACGTAAAGTTGACCTATGCGATGAAAATGTAGACAGTGACAACTGGGCTTTCACGTGGCACTCTATCTGATCACGCTATCATCATTTGCAGATGGGCGTAGGACTGAAACATGTCATCGGATTGATAAAACAGGATAGAGTGTTGAGGATATTTCCTTAAAAAATGATTCGAAGACACACAAAATTCCTTTGACAAAATCTTATCCAAACAACGATAAAAGGATTATGTTTTTTTTTTTCTCCAATTAAAGTGTATAACCGCACAATATGAGGAGGTAACTTGTAATAGGGAATACATAGATACTGGGATGCAGGAAGTGAAAAAAGAAGAGAGATACGCTGCACCCACGACACATTCCCAAGAAAATTATCTCACGTCTTGCCTTCATCTTTAACTAAATTTAGACATTATCTTGTCAGTTGGAATATAGTGGACACTTGTCTAGACTTTAAAGTACTTACTGTGAAATCATTGTTTTAGATCACAGGAATTACCTTGTTTATGAAAGCATTTTATGCAAGAGAATTGATTATTAGTTGATTTT